CCCCCCCCCGAAGGTGGGGACAGAACAGGGAGCAGGACAGGGGCTGGGAAAGAACCACCAGCACTTCTGGGGCTGCCAGAAAAGTCCTGGCCCCACTCTGTTCCAGGGTTAAGTTTTCAGAGCTGGAGTCCTAAATTAGAGCCAGCTCCCTGCACAACTTATTCTTGGACTGGAAAACCTAGAGTGGAGACCTCCTTGAATGGCTGACGTCCATAGTGATACATGCCTGGCAACTCAGATAAGGCAGTTATAAGGGATCCCATAAGATGTCTACTATCCTCAACTTTTCAAAAGGCAGTTTTCAGCCAGGACACACCCCTTCCTTCCCCACAGCAACATGAGCTGGACTCAGATCTTGTATTTCCCTCATGTCCGTATTACTCAGCCCTCTGGGTTTGACAATGGGACTGATCTGACAGAGAGGTCACCCAGGAAATTGGAAACAGCCCTTAGCGAACTGTTACAGCTTCCTGAAAGTTCTAAGATGGTACTGAGTTTTGCTCCCCAGGTTGGGGTGGGAGTGGGGAAAGGCCTCCACTTTGGGGACATTTGCTGCTTGGTGATAGGCCCTGACCCCCGGGAGTGTGACTGGGCCTGGGAGAGATGTTTAAATCTGGCTCTTCTTAGGGCAGGGTTGAGGGCTGCTAATTTATGCTGCTTCTGCACATGCAGCAAAGAATGCTGGTGGTTTCTGAGATTCGTTTCACATGAGTTCAAACAAAACAGCCCATGGGGCACTGTGGGTTGTCACACAGCCACCTAAGCCCCAATCCTCCTGGGGGAAGGCTCTTCCTCCCCCTCCTCTCCCTCCAGCAAGAGCCAGAGTGCTTCCCACTGGTCCTTCCAGAGCCCCTGCAGCCTCTCAAGCACAGCTGCTTCCAAAAAGGCACTTCTGCAGAAACAAAAATGAAAACACAGCCACAAAACAAGCCATCAAACCATAAATACCCTAAAACACATACACACACAAACAGAAAAAAAATACCCAGTCCATCCTCAGTTAAGCAACACTGTTCCCAGAGCCCTAAAGGAGAAATTTCAAACACTAACCATGTAACCATGGTGACCAACCAGGAGGCTGACCTCTGTCCCCTGTCTTCTCAGGGGACGGGCTACCCTGATGTGAATTCTCCCTCAAGAGCACTCTGGACTGTCACTGGGGCCCTGCCCCACAGAGGCCTGGCTGGAAGGGGCAGGGCCCATGAGTTGCCTTTTGCTTCCAGAGACCACAGCTGCTCTGCCAGTCAGGCCTTAGGCAGCCTTCAAATACGGACATGTTCCAGGACACCAGTCAAACTGGGACGGGGACTTTGGGCTGCAGTCACCAAGGGTCAACCATGCCATTTCCAAACACCCTGCCTGCCAGCAGCAAGGATGTGAATGGGCCAGAGGAGGCAGCCCTGAGATTCCAAGGTGGGCAGGGGCCGTGGACTCAGCAGCTCTGTGTGCACTGTTCATCACAAACATAATCGGAAAACCAGCCCATGGCCCATGACCATGTTTCCTTCCCCTGCTCCCAAATTAAAGGCTCCTCTTTAGGCTTGTGATACAGATGAACCCTATAAAGCCTGTGGGCATAAAGCAGTGGGGAAGCTTGTCTGTTTATCTGTGTGTATGAGGAACTGTTCTTGTGATGTTTTCCAGTGTGTGTGGTGTGCCTGCAGGTGTTTGTCTTTATCCGTGTGTGTTCTGTAGCTCTTCACAGAGCCGATTCCATCAGTAACCAGCACAGCTATCCCATTTATGAAAATATTGAATTGGTAAGCCTCGAGTGCCATCCTCTAACACCCTGGGCTGTCCCAGTCCCTCCCCAGGGACCCAGAATCCACACCAGATTGCATAGAAATCCAGACTGAGGTCAGTGCCCACAGGGTCTACAGACATTTATGGGTGCTTCGTGTATGTTTCTCTGTGTGTGTGCGTGTGTGTGTGTGTGTGTGTGTGTATGTGTGAGAGAGAGAACAAGAGAGAGAGAGACCGTCAGTAGGCTGAGGCCTGCCCCTTACGTCTGGGTTTGATGGCCCGAAAGAGGAAGAGCACTGTCCTGGTCTCAGCAACACACCCCAGCGCCCCGCTGCGGGGAAGCTAGCTGGCTGGGGGCTACTTCTACAGCAGGGGGGCCTGCTCACCGCTCGGCTCCCCGCCATCCTCTGCGAGCGCCTCCGGCTCGGCTCGCGCTGGCCCGGGTGCGAGGAAGGCAGGGCGGGACTTTCACGAGGAGGGGTGCGCGTGGCCCCCGGCCCCCTACGTGACCCAGAAGGTGCCGCGCTCCTCCAGCAGGCTGACGGAGCGGTTGGTGAGCGAGGCGGCATCCCGCGCCAATCTGTAGCCGAAGAGGCGCATGGCGGGGCCGCAGGCGGCCTGCACCACCTGCGCCAGCTTGAAGGGCATGCTGAAGCGCCACTTCTCAAACTGCTCCGAGGAGTTCTTCTGCGTGGAGTAGATGCCGCTGCCGTCCTGGGAGCCCTGGGTGTTCTTCTGGATCCAGTCCTCCACCTGCGGGGTGAGGGGGATGCCCGCAAAGCGGTACATCTCGCGGGCCTTCTCCAGCGGCCTGCGCGCCACGTCCTCGTAGCGCACGAGCATGTAGCGGCCCCGCAGCCAGGCGGGCCGCCGCAGGCCCAGCTCCGCCGACACGCGGATGCTCTCGCAGTTGCCCCGCAGCCGCTGCACCTCCTCCTCCCTCAGCCGGTCCTGGCCCTCGGCCAGCCACTTCTTCCAGGTCTCGTACTTGCCCGCGAAGGCCACCATGCGGGAGGCCAGCACGGCCCGGGGGTCGCGCACCAGCTGGATGACCCGCAGGTCCAGCCGGGGGTCCTCGGCCAGCGGCTGCAGGAACTCCAGCTGCCGGATGCGCACGGCCTTGACGGCCATGTGCTCCTTGCGGCGGCAGGCCTCGGCCGCCAGCGTCACGTTGAGGGGCCCGCAGCGGCGGTTCTTGCAGTGGTACTTCTCGAAGACCTTCTTGACGAAGGGCGTGCACACCGGGTCCTCGCACAGGGAGCGGCTGGAGCCCCGGCGGAACATGAAGTGCGTCAGGTGGTCCTCCGGCAGCGGGCTGATGAAATGCTCCAGGACGTACAGGTCGCACAGGAACAGCTGCTTGAGCACGTCGCGGTAGACCAGGGCCGAGCCGGCCGCGTTGGCGCCTCCCGGCTCGAAGGTCACCTTGCGCTCGATGTGCCACAGCGGCTCGAAGAGGTAGAAGATGTTGCCCTGCTGGTTGAAGAACTCCCCCACGAAGGAGGAGCCGGTGCGGGTGGTGGCCATGAGCAGCAC